AAGCCAGGCTGATGGCTGCCAGTACAGCGGTGGTGGTGGGAGCCTCTCCTGCCTACTCAGCAGTGCTAAGGATGTCTGACTGCAGCTTAGGCCTGCTCCCCACTGGCAAGTGGACATTCCCGGAGGGCTGCCGGGTTGCCAGAGCGATGTCTGACTGCCGCTTGGGTCCAATCCCTAAGAGAGCGGGCCTAAGCCAGCAGGTGGACATCCTCCAAGCGGTCCCAGACTGCAAGAGGGCACAGGCCGGGCTGAGACCCACCTGAGGGACCCCCCCCCCCCGCCCGAGTGCACAAAGTTTTGTGCAAGGGCCTCTAGTGTTAAATAAATGTAATCACATACTATATGACCATTTGAGACTGACCGAGGACATACTTTTAAAATATACTTACCTGAGGACTTTTTAGATAGAAGTTTTTTTTAGGTTATCAATGAGTGAAATGATTAGAAAGTCCTTTATTTTGTTTTTGTTTTATATTTGTTGAATTTATTGGGGTGGCATTGGTTAATAAAATTATACAGGTTTCAGGTATACAACTATATAATACATCATCTGTATATTGTATTGTGTGTTTACCACCTCAAGTCAAGTCTCCTTCCATCATCATTTATTCCCCCTTTACCTTCTACCTCTCCCCTCCCTCTGGCAATCACCGTACTGTTGTCTGTGTCCATGAGTCTCTCTTTTTTAGTACATAGGTTTGATTTACTCTTAGGCCTTCACGTTTCCCTTTAAGTTAGGCAATAATTTATTTATTCTTTCATACACAAATTTACCCAGTGACTGTTACATTCCAGATAGCATTTTAAGCACTGAACAAAATAGATTTTTAAAAAATACATTTTATTGATTTTTTTTAAAGAGGGGAAGGGAGAGGATTACAGAGTTAGAAACATCAATGAAAGAGAAACTTCGATCAGCTGCCTCCTGCACACCCCCTACTGGGTATGTGCCCGTAACCCAGGTACATGCCCTTGACCGGAATCAAACCTGGGGTCCCTCAGTCCACAGGCCAATGCTCTATCCACTGAGCCAAACTGGTTAGGGCACAAAATAGATTTTTTTTAAATCCCTGTTTTCCTAGAGCTAACATACTAGTGGGAAAAGACAGACACTAAACAATATATATAGTACATAATCACATTGCTTAGTGTATTGAAAGGTGATAAATATTCTGGAAATAAAAAGGTAATGTGTAAAACTAGTAATCACAGGAAGTGTCAGAAGGGGCACTGGGCGGTTGCATTATTAAATAGAGTAGTCAGGGTAGGCCTCATGAACTCAGTGGTAGGCAGAAATGAATGGAATGTGTAGTGAAAAGAGTTTTGTCTCATGTTTCTACTGGATTCCTTAACATCTTCCTCAACTTGTTTAAACTATAACTAGAAACACTCCTATACCTTTGAGCAGTACCTGCCTGATAGAGTCCTTATTCACGCAGTTGTTACATTGTGGGCCTTTACTCTGGTATGTACATTGCCTTCTCTTCATCGTGGGATTCATCTGTGATCAACTTAAACCACTTCAGAACCGTAGAAGCAGTGATCTAAAAATCAGCAAGTTTCGTGAAATGCAGCTGACTAATGAGGGTGTGGAATCCATAGTGAAATGGCTACTTTTAAAAACATGAACGAAGACCTAGAGCAAAATATGACATGGTTACCTACACTCTAGGAAGGACAGAAAAACAAAAGTTTTCTCAATCAGGTATCAGAACGGTCTCTGAAATATTCTTCTCCCTGTAGATGGGTTTTGCTGAAGTCTTCTCTCTCTCCCAGAATTTCCTGA